TTTTTACTAGAAACTACGTATACCATTTTGGTCCTTATGGGTGACAGCGCATCTGAAGTGGATCGATATTATAATAAAACTCGTACTTTTATATATATTTAAATCCACTGGCACTTTAGCGTCTTTCATGGATAAATTGTTATTTTTTCTTGTATCTGAAATAGTTTTACACTTTTCTAAAAAAAACTTGTAGTAAACGAATGAAGCGGTTCATTTTATTTTAAACAAAATATTGTAGCGCGCATGTCCTAGATCTATTTTTACTCGGACTGGTAGGTCCATTCGTGTGCCGAGTCGATATACTGATAAGTGATAACGTCATATATAGTACGCTCTAGAGGGCGCTGTAGGTGGAGACAGTAATTCGCGGGTTATAACTCCCATAGATACACTCTGGTCTAAAATTATTATTCTGCGCAGTTGCTAACAGTTGCAAGTAATATAATATAAAATATCTGAACTTGAAATAAACCATAACTTCTCATAATTATTTTAAGCCTAGATAGTTAATTATAATAGTACATATTCGTAACGTTTTCCTTTAACTGTATCAATTTTGTTCTATAAAACGTTTGTTCTATTATTTTGTAGGTATTTGTATTTTCATCTTTCTATAGAACACCGCTACAAAAATGGCTCCCAACGTTCGACTTGAAATTTTATGAAAATACTCAGTGCTTTTGTTAACAACAGTGATTCTTACGTCGATAACTCATAAAATGCTCCAAGGACATTTTTACACCTAAACGAATACGCTGTAATGGCATCTCTAATCCACGAGTGCGAGTGCCGTTTACTAGATATTTGCGTGGTACTGTGGTTTTAGTGTTTGTTCTTTATAATTTAGAATCCACCTTTATCAAGAAGAAAGTGATTTCTTATATTTACGCGAACACTACACATTGATTAAAACTTTAACGGATTTTATCGCGTTTAATTTTACTTTTAATTATTTTTATTGTTAATTCCCGACGTTTCGGGTGCTTTCCAGCACCCATGGTCACGGGGGACTGAGGTGACTGACGTCCCGATGTCATTGTTAAACCCGGAGTACCTTCAGCTTTTCTAATTATTGTTTATGGTCCGATCTATGCAAAATGAACTGATTATGTCCTGAGGTCTTGCAGTGGTATGCTTGGGTTTATTTTTAGTTTTATCGATTATAGGGTCCCAAGCAGGTGGTAGTACCCAGCCTCCTTCTTTATTGAAATTAGGATGTTTTTTTAATTTCAATAGCCTCACGTATCATCCTTGGTAGGAATCGGTGTTCTTTCGCGAGGATTTGTGGTCTATTATATCAGATTTGATTGAAAATAAAAAAACATCCTAATTTTAATAGAGAAGGAGGACCTACTCTAACTTGTATTCTTAGCATATTATTCCAAGCTTGCATTAAATTCTTGCAAGTTCCTTAACAGATCTATTCACCTTTGTTATTTCATATAATATGTAAACAGGTATATAATAAGTTATTTGTTTAATAAAAAAATAATAATCTCAGGTTATTGTCAATGTATAAATTGTAAGAAATAAAGTATATTAATTGGTTAACAGGATAGGAAAATAAATATAAATTCTGAGTTAAACTTTATGTTAAATAAAGAAACAATTCAATGTTCTCAATATAAATGTTTACATAGTAATAAATTTAATTTAATAAACAGAAACCTATTTATAATAATATTAATTGTGTACGAATTAGTATTTAATTACTGCTAATGATAATATAACTGCTCATAATGCTTCTGTTTTTACTATTATAATACTTATATGTTGAGTTTTTTTTGTTTAAAAGTTAATGCTTAAATGTGAAAATAATTGAGTGAGTATATTGTTACAAGGATAATAACTTAAAACAAAAGTTTTATTTTTAATTTTATTACTAAAATATTGTGGTGAATATTAAGAAAAGAATATCTTCATTTTTAATTTGAATGATAATGATGTAGGTATTGAACAAATAATTAAATTTGTCTTCACATTTTAAAATATAATAATATTATCATTTCAATATTATTATTTAGTAAATAGTTACTTTAAATTTTAACTTAACTGGTGGTTAAGATATATATATATATATATATATCTTTACCGCTATATATAAAGAAATGTTTCTAACTAGATCTTGTATAATGATAACGATGTAACTATGTAGACTTCTGTATAAATAAGACATTTAAAACTATCCTTTTAGGGTAAGATTTTACTTGCATTCATATTATAACATAAATTTTGTACAAGTTATCTTAAAATTAGCCGTAAATCTCACCGTGTGATCTTAGTCCGATATAATTGCAAGCGTTGCCTTAAACGTACTTTTGAATTCAAAACAAAGGTGTCTCGAATTGCTGGCGCTGCTTGGATTACAATTTGTATTTTGATCTGTGTTGTTATGTTAATGATAATGATTAAGTTGTTTAACGTTGACTTCTTTGTTATGTTCATCTTAATATCAAATGTAATAATTTATTTTAGGTTTTATATTGTTTGAATCTTTAAATCTTATGTTTTTAACTGTGATAATTTATTATTTTCTCGGAAAATAGTACTTACTAGTGTAGATTTTAAAAATATTTACTTCGCTTAATACGATTTACGATTACGATTGAAGCTCCTATTATGTATACAATTAATTAATTAAAATTTTGTTGTGATGGTTGTGAGCCTCATTCCATGACTAAAAATTATGTACTCGTACCTAAATATTTTACGAAACTATATGATATTTGTATAAGATGTGAGTGCAGTTAAAGACTAAGTTAAGGATATGTAATTATAAATAATATATATATATACATATATATATATATATAAAAGTAAAAGGTGTGTCGTAAGTAGTAAAAATTATCGGAGGTCAGCACTTTCACACACAATCAGCCTGATCCGCTGAGAGTTTGAAAAACCATATAATATGCGGATGAGTTTTAATGTATTGTTAATGAGGAAAATTAGAATTAATTATGAATTGTACATGAAATGTGTATAGAGTATTTTGTGAGTAGTTTGTATAAAAATTATTTCCAATTTCTATAAATACGAGACGTAGGTACCAATATGTTACTAGGTATTTTTTGCATGTTTTAATATTTTTAGCTGACTTATAAATAATTTTAAAATTGTCTTGGTTAAGAACTAGGAATATTAATAGGAATCATTTTTTATTTTAAAAAGTTTGTAGTTCATGGGAGGCCATGAATCGTAATACTCCTAAGGTAAAATCTACCCTAAGGGTGTAAAACATGACAATGTCATATCTTCATGCATATTATTACTTAAACCTTCACTCCCATAAAATTAACATGCAGTCCCATGCGCCCGGAAAATGCTGAGCTGTCGCATGCGACTGCATCCACCCACAGCACTTAAAACCATTAAAACTTATATTTGGAGACTATTTTTCTATAAAGAATTTTAGCATTATAAAATCTATACAAAATTTTCTATCCAGTAGTCTAAACAAAAGTCAGGTTTTACTTCTTTACCAAAAGATTTAATTGTATTTTGATTCCAAAAAAAAAACATACCAAGCCGATGTTGGCAGCGTGAAAATCACAATTATTTCAATATATATTACTCGAAATTATTGACGTAAAAAAATAAAGTATATTCAAGCAAAAACTTTCATTACAATTTTAAATAAAACACTATAAAAATCCAAAAATCAACACTACAACATCCAAATGAAAATGGCGTACGTAATGAACGTATAATATTAATTAATGTCCATGATTAATTGTTTATTTATTCCACTAGAGGATATAAAATTTTATATTGATTCTATAAAGCCAAACTTTTTCTTAGAAAAGTAGTCTCTAAACATAAGTATTTATGGATTAAAGTGCTGTGGGTGGGTGTGGTCAAATTTGACCTCTTGAATTTTGACGGAATATCGAAGCGGTAAAATTTGGACGCTTTGCGTTTGAGAGGTTAAATGATATTCTGCAAAATAAATTTAAAAACGACACAAAAGAATCCACAGGTCTATAATATCATCCCGTGTTTGTTGTATAGGCGACAGAAAGAAATGAAACTGGAAATGTGCAGGCGCACTTTCAATCCACGGGAAAGACTATTTTCTGCAGTGGACTTTGACAGGCCCTGATGATGATGACGATGATATGTAATTAGAAGTGTGCATTGATACATAATGCATGTTCAAAAAGAAACTACCGTGTTCTATATGTCCCTCTAAAATTGAGCCCATAAACGCTTATTTATCTCATACAATTAGGCGGATTCAACTATGTGTTGTATTTGTAGTTCTACTTATAGTAATTTGAATTTTTGGAGTAATAAAATTTATGACTATTTTTCCTAACTTCACACATAAAACCAATAATGTTTGTAGCCAAACATGGTGTTCCTATTTTATTTTAAGTTTTTTACGCATGTAAGTTAATAGAAACATCGGCCATATCGTTCACGTCATTGTGGCAGGCGAAAGAGTTAAAAAAAAACAGGACATGGACAACAGTAGCTTCCTGATGCAAACATAAACTACACACAATAATAATAAACTGCGGTTGTCAACCCGTCTGCTAATTGTAAAAACTGTGCCCCTATGAGAAAATCTATAGGGGAGGTTTATGTTCAGCAGTTGATTACTGATAACCTGAAATAAAATTAACGATTACTTATAACAATGTTATTTGAGTCTTTTGTCCATTTTTTTGTATTAAACCCAATAGATTTAATATTGATTTTTTCCAGTAAGTTGGAGTCATAAGTCAAACTACTATCCATTTTTAAAACCGTATGTAAATATATATCTTACAGTGGGTAAATCACTTATTTTATTTTATATAATACAAAACTAAATGTATGATGGCAAATAGTTAAACATAAAAATGTTGTAGATTATTTTATTACAGAGAATGAAAGAATGAATAATGATACCACCCTAGAAAACAAACTTGAACATTTATATACACATTGCAAAGTGACCTACAACGCAGTTAAATATGATCTAGCATACACCATATTATTGTAATATTTAATTGTCACACTCTCATTTCATCGATTGCAGCTTGTGGAAGATTTGATGGGTGAAGGGATTTCCCCCTCCGAAGTGTTGCATGGGCAATTTCTCCACCTGGAGAGGCAGCTGAACCATTTGGAGGGAACTGTTGATGTCTTAAGTCATGCATTGGTGAAGAACTGCAAAAATGTTTCTTAGGCACTGTTGCATACGCTCCCATTTGTGGATAGCTTACGTTTGGTAACCTAAAACTATTACTTCTACTTCCCAACTTGCTTGGCAACATGATGTTGTCTAAGCTCAACGTTGGACTTGGTGATTTTCTGTGATCCAACGGTCCTTTAAAACTAAAATTTGATAAATTAGGTTCCGTCGTTTTCTTTCGGTTTTTTCTTTCTATATCTACCACCAAACTTGGGGCGAGGGTTGGATCTATATGGTAATGTGAATGTTTTCCAGATATGGTTTCAAAATGTTTTTCACTTAACCTTGGCTGTTTCCCTCTAGATCTGCTTTTGTCTCGCTGATAATATACTCCAGCAAAAATTAATACATTCAAAATGAGTAAAGAGCAACCTATTGCTATGGTTACACTAAGAGCAGTTGAATATGCAGCGTATCCTGCTGCTTCTAGATTAGCTAAATTACTATCTGTTGCATTGATGGCGTGTACATCTCGTGCATTGGGTAATAAAGTTACACACGTTGCCAGAATTGAATCAACAGTAGTCATCGCAGTATCAGTATATAGGGAACCGTTGACCCGTCGTATCTGATCAGCGTCAGGATTACGAGCTAAGGGATCTGGCCTCACGATGCCTTCGTACAAATCTAGTTCATTGTGATTGCGAAATAAGTTGTGACGGGCGGCGACGTCTTCCATACCAGCTCTGTGTAGCTCGGGAACAAGGCGCAGCCACACTGACAAATGATGCGCGCGAAAGTGATTTTTAAGTCGAGGTTTCACACCTGATTAAAAAAATATTCATAGTTAGAAAAATATTTTTAATATTTAATGTGTTTGCTTTTATTAAAGTAGTTTTTTTTTAATATTAAAAGTAGTAGTAAAATCTTTATATTAAGACTCAAACGTAATCAAGAAATAATTTAGTTATTTTTATAATTTAAAAACGTTGCCATAAGATTTTCTTTTATATCTTGGAGGCGTTTGCATTCGTGTCACACATGGACAATCATTCAGACCCAGAAAAATTATTTGTAGACCAACAAATATTTTTTACATGCAGGACCTAATTGCTGCAGCCTGTAGCTCCGCAGTCACAACTACTTAACTTTAACGCTACTGAACCATCAAATTGATTCCTTTTTCATCTCCAGTTCCTTAGTAAAAGATTTACAAGCGTAAACTGATGACGAATATGGAATAATTATGAAGAATTTACTTTATATTTTAATATTTCTTGTGAAAAAAGGAATTACTAACTAGGATATTCTCCTGTATTGTGTAGGTTTAATGTTTTGCTCATGTATAAACATTCAGACTCAAAAAAATTACTTTAAGTCCATAAAAATAGTTGTTTTACGTAGGATTCTAACCCACGGCCCACAACACATCAACAAATCGCTTATTAATCATAATATTTGTTACTTGTTATAATTTATTCAAGTTGGCGCATAGAGAATAAGTAGAATATAAGAAATAAGATGTGCTATAATAGACACAGAAATTTAAGAAGAAATTTATATTGCTTAAAAAACTAAACAGGGTGGGCTCTTTAAATATTATTGTTACTTAAATGCAAACGCAATTTCATTGAATTATTCTTGTGCACCATATTGTAAGTTATATAACAGACATAATTCAATTTTATTGATTTATGTGAGCACCTAACGAACGTGTACAGATGTACAGTTACTTTAATAATACATATTTTTTATGTTATGAGGTACTAACTAATTTCAAGATATTTTTGATGTGTCGAATCGTACTCTTCCCAAATTATACCACGAAATTTATTCCTTTCTCTTGATGCAGGCAACAGAGCTTCTTGTTTATTTATATCATTTGGGTTTCTGAAAAAAAAAAGCAGAATAAGTAAGTAGGTAGGTAATAATATAATAACAAATAGTAATAAATTTAAAAATCTATCAACGCTTTTAAGCGTTAATGCCTGCGCTGCATGTATTCTCATGTTAGATCTCCGTGTAATTTAATTTAATTAAATTTAATTTTGAAAGATTTATATATATATATTTAGGAAAGAATAAAATAAATGGAATCATATTACGATACCAGGAAAACCCCCAATGGATCGGGCAAGTAGTTTTTCGACTACTACTCGAATAAATTACTCATTTAACAATTTAAATACAGTTCTATTCTGCTTCTATAATTACATCTGTTAGTACTGTTAGTAATTTGTATGGCTTATATAAAGAACCGGGAAATGCTGATAGTATCATAAAACATATTTGATTTAAACATGCAATATAGATAGAGCAATGCTGCAGCTTTATTAGAATTATAGTTGTAGCACGAATGGGTCTGCTCTACCGGGGACGGACCAAGCTCTCACAAAATATCAGCGTAAAATAACAGCTCAATGCTGCTGTGTTTTGTGTAAAGAGTGAAGAGAACCGGAGACCCTTTTAAGGAAAACGAGGCGACAACGCATCTGCATTTTGATTCGTAATCGAGGATAGATGTATATGTCTATGGGCCACAGTAACCACTTACCATCAGGTAGACTGTGTACTCGCTTGTCACCCTTAATCTATAAAAAATCGGGTTCGTCTCTCAAAAGTCGATCAATATGAAAATCAGTGAAAATAATTGCGACAGAAACTCTATAACTGAAGTTTTGTCACAAGCATTTTAGGGCAGTTTCTCTTCTTAATACGAACGTTTTTAATATCAGTCGTCAGTAAGGGTTTTGTAAACTAAACATTATTTTAAATTCAATTATATCACTACATAGAATAAAACTTAAGAACTAAAATAACATGCATTGATCAAGAAATGTGTCGATCCTAGAAAGAACACCAAGTCATAATCACGAAATTATTGTATTTTCATCGGTTCTTAATACGTCTGCAAATTTTCCGAATATATAGACGGCCGGAAGTTGGTAAAAAATAAATTAAAATTATTACATTCAGATATATTATGTACATACAAACATAAATGTTAACCTAAGAGCATGTTAAAAGAGTAGTAGCCGACTTAAAACAATATCAACAGTGGTAGAGCCACGCGGCAGCTTTGCTGTTGCACGTATGGGCAGGCTCAAACCGGGGTGGTACCACGACCTCACAGAATACCGGCGTGAAGTGGAAGCTCTGCTTCCGCGTTTTTTCTGGTGAGTGCAGGTGGCCGGAGGCCCAAATCCGCCCCCCATCAACATGGTAGCGGAATTAAATAATGATAGACTACCCCAGGTGGGTACCAGCACCCCTGGAGAATCCCTCGCTGAGCATCCACGACCATGTTTCTCCACTTCTGAGCGTGGGTGCTCAGGCTGCCCCGCGTATTCGGGGGGGGGACGGGGGGCAAAATTCCGCTCAAGAACTGCTCGGGGCAAACGGAGCAACAAGACCAAGGCGACTCCTGCCACGCTGTCCGTGAATTTCTGCAATATCAGGGGACTTCACTCTAACCTAAACGTCCACTACCATCTCGAGACGACGAGGCCGGCTCTGCTCTTCCTGACCGAGACGCAGGTGTCCTCTCCGGCTGATGTCTCGTATCTCTCCAACCCGGGGTACAAACTGGAACACTCCTTTGTGCCTCGGGCTGGAGTTTGCGTTTACGTCAGAGAGGACATCTGTTCTCGACGCCTCGGCAGACTTGAAGGTTCGGACCTGTCCATCCTTTGGCTACGCGTAGACAGCGACGACCATCCGCGCGTCTACGGGTACCTCTATAGGTCCCATAGCGGTAATGCCGAAACAGACCGACTCTTCGACCACGTCCAAATGGTTACAGATTCGTTGCTACAGCAGATCCTCTCCGCAGAGATCGTGATTCTCGGTGACTTTAACGCCCATCACACCGAATGGCTTGGTTTACGTTTAACCAATCATGCGGGGGAGATCTGTTCATGATTTTGCCTTGGCATATGGTCTGACACAACTGGTTACGTCGCCTACGCGGATTCCAGATGTGGAGGAGCATGCACCTTTCCTATTGGACCTTCTGCTGACCTCTCACCCGGACGGATATCAGATTTCCGTCGAAGCCCCTTTAGGCTCCTCGGACAATTGTCTTGTCCAGAGTGTGGTGCCACTCACACTGAAATTACAGTTGCATTCTGCAAGCTGCCGCCGTGTTTGGCACTATAGGTCAGCCGATTGGGATGGGATGCGGTCTTTCTTTGTATCCTACCCTTTGGGGCGGGTTTGCTTCTCGCTGGACGATCCCAAAGTTGTTGCGGATTCCGTCGATGATGTGGTACTTCAGGGTATGGAACTTTTTATTCCTTCCTCTGTGGTGCCTATTGGAGGCAAATCTCAGCCATGGTTTGGTCGCTCCTGTAAAATAACATCATGCTATAAGCAGGAGTGCTAACGAGCCTGGGCTAGCGCATCAGCGTCCCGGGATGTAAACACCAGCGCTATAAAAAAGAAGTATAAATCCGCCACTAGATCCTTCAAAAGAGTCATTGCTAAGGCAAAGTCAGAGCACATATGCAGAATTGGCGAGAAACTAGTTCGCCTTCCTTCTGGAACCCGTGCATTCTGGTCTCTCGCCAAGGCTGTCCAGGGGAATTTCTGTTAGCCATCTCTTCTATCTCTGCACAGGGAGGACGACTCACTGGCCCATACCCCAAAGGAGAAAGCCGATCTTCTAGGCTCTTTCTTTGCATCCAACTCGACTCTCGATGACGGGGGGAGCACGCCGCCGACCATCCCGCGGTGTGAGTGCTCCATGCCGAAAGTGCAGTTCACACAGCGCTCGTCCTCTCACTGGACATCCACAAGTCGAATGGGCCTGACCAATTCCCCCTAATTGTGCTGAGGACGGGTGCTCCAGAGTTGGCACCGGTTCAACGCGTCATTTCCGGTACTCCACTCCCTAGGCGTAGTTCCAAAATCATGAAAGACGGCTTTCGTCCACCCGATCCCTAAAAAAGGCGACCGTTCAGACCCGTCCAACTACCGGCCTATCGTAATCACGTCCTTGTTCTCCAACACAATGGAGTCTATTTTAAACTGTCAGCTCTTGAGGTACCTTGAGAAACACCAGCTGACAAGTGACCGCCAATACGGTTTTCGCCGTGGTCGGTCAGCTGGTGATCTTCTGGTCTACCTAACTCATGATGGGTGGAGGCAGTAGAGTCCAAGGGGGAGGCATTGGTCGTTGGTTTGAACATTGCGAAGGCCTTCGATCGGGTTTGGCACAAAGCGCTTCTTTCGAAGCTCCCTTCCTATGGGGTTCCCGAGAAATTGTGCGATTGGATCACCAGCTTTCTTGCAGATCGGAGCATCAAGGTCGTCGACGCAGCCTTTTGGAACACCAGCATTAATTGCAAGCCTATTAATGCTGGTGTTCCAAAAGGCTGCGTGCTATCGCCAACGCTGTTTCTTCTGCATATCAATGATATGTTGCAAACCCGTAACATTCATTGCTATGTAGATGACAGCACTGGTGATGCTCTTTACACCGGCCGAGCCAATATTTCTCGGAAAACGTCTCCGAGTTACGGGACAAACTTGTGTCTGAAGTCGAGTCCTTGCTGAACAGAGTCTCGGATTAGGGGCGACTAAATCTAGTCCAATTTAACCCCCAGAAGACACAAGTTTGCGCGTTAACCGCTAAAAAGAACCCCTTTGTCGTATCTCCTCAGTTTCAAGGCACTCCCCTTGTTGTCTTAGCCAGTATCGGAATCCTCGACGTTGGCATATCGATTGACGTGCAGTTTCGTGGTCACTTGGAAGAGAAGGCCAAATTGGCCTCTAAAAAGATTGGCGTGCTTATCAGAGCGGGACAGTATTTCATGCCGGCACACCGCCTGCGACTTTATAAGGCGCAGGTTCAGCCACACATGGAATACTGTTCCCATTTTTGGGGCTCCCCAGTACCAGCTCCTTCTACTTGACCGCATTCTGCGATGAGCGGCTCGAATCGTCGACGACCGAATGCTTTCCAATCGGCTCGATTCACTGGCACTGCGTAGAGATGTTGCATCTCTTTGCATTTTATTTCGCATATACCATGGAGAGTGCTCTGAGGAATTGTTCGGATTAATCCCAGCCGCCACATTTCGTGAACGCACTACGCGGCAAACGTTCCGATACCATCCACACCATCTGAATGCTTGGCGCTCCACCACAGTAGGTTTCAAAAGGAGTTTTCTTCCGCGTATCACCTCTCTGTGGAATAGTTTACCACCGGCGATTTTTCCGGACCGATACGACCTGGGGACCTTCAAGAAAAGAGCCTACTCCTTTCTAAAGGGCCGGCAACGCACCTGCAATTCCCCCTGGTGTTGCGGTTGATCACGGGCGGCGGTAGTCACTTAACATCTGGTAAGCCGCATGCTCGTTTGCCCCCTATAAAAAATATTAATTTTTTTATATAGGATAGGGTGACAAACGAGCACACAGTCCACCTGATGGTAAATGGTTGCTGTGGCCCATATACATCTACATCTATCCTCGATTACGAATCAAAATGCAGATGTGTTGTCACCCGTGAGGACTAAGATGGAATGCCTCGTTTTCAGTTAAAAGGGTATCCGGTTCTCTACACTCACTATACGAAATACAGCAGCATTAAGCTACTATTTCACGCTGGTATTCTGTGAGAGCGTGGTCCTTCTCCGGTCGAGCCGACCCATTCCTGCTACGACTATAAATCTAATATAACTGCATCATGGCTGCATGATGCATCACGTTTAAATCCACGGAAGCGGAAATAAAATAAATTTTACATTTCCGCTTCAGAAGTTCGTGTTAAGACATAATGTTTAAAATAATTAAATTCACAACTTTGTTTGAGGGCCTTGAGGGCCGAGTTTGTTTTCCAATTTTATAATATGGGACCACCTCTGAAATATTACCTATTTAATAAAAAAGAACGGTTCTAATCGCTTCCTAATTGACGAAATTTTGGCGAAACATACATACAACAAAATAACAAAAAATCTAATTGAGTATTTAACTGTCGATAGTAAGTCGAATTAAAAATATTCTCAAAATTAATGTTAAACATTTAATAAAACTAGTTTTTACGGATTTTATCGTGTATATTAACTTATTTTATGTTCCCGACGTTTCGAGCTTTTTACCGCACCCGTGGTCACGGTAAGGGGTGAGGAACTAAGGTTTGCGACGTCCCAAAATTATAGTTAACCACGGCTACGTCCATTTTAAAATCATTAATATTTATTCCGATCCAGCTCGTTATAGTATCTTCGTTATAGTGTTATATATATATATATAATATATATATATATATATATATATATATATATATATATATATATATATATATATATATATATATATCGTTATAGTGTCGTATACAGTATCTTGTATTCTTGCAGTTGTATGCTTGGGTTGGGATTTAATTTTATTAATTAGAGAATCCTAAGCAGATAGCAGGGGCGATCCTGTACGTGTTCACAGACTGCAGAATTTCCAGAGCGTCGATTCTTTACATGAGCTATGTCTTCTTTAACGTGACATTACGCTTAACTGATGGTTAAAATCTTCTTCGGCGGCTTGATATATTTTTTAATGGAAGCAAGCAAGATTTATCCACGGTAGCTAACTCTAAAGGATGGTGTTGAGAATTTGTGGTAAGAAAGAAACCATTTAAATATTTATCTGTATGGGTCTTTTCTTTATTAACAGTGAAACTCTAGGTGTTATCAGAATTCCGAATTTCTAACAAATCTAGAAAAGTTAAAGAATTGTTTGTCTTTAACTCCAATTAATGAATTTTTAAATTTATGAAGTTAAGATGGTCTAAAAATGCAGTTACTTTATCCAAAGTTGGAATTGTGAAAGTGTCGATTACATATCGCTTGTAGAATATTGGATTTACGGGAGAAGTAAATAGGGTTTTCTCCTTATAGTCATCGATGAATATATCAGAGACAATAGGAGATACAGGTGAGCTCACCGCCACACCATCTGCTTGATTCTACTACTTGAACTCGTCCTTCCGCAGCAGGTAGTCAGATGTAAGTTATTGTCTGAGTAATACTGTATATTTTACGGGCTTTTTGTTTTCTTGCAGCCTTCTAGTTACGATTCATATATAAAAGATATTTATAGTTTTTGCAACAATCCGCTCAATAAAATAAAATTATGCGTCTTCCCTAGTTTGAAGAGCACCTTCCGCCCTCCCTGAATTGCGTGCACTAATACCGTCACCTTTAAGTCCAGCACCACTACTTCCAACACCACTACTCTAGGCAAGACACACCATCGACGGTAATACAACACATGTTTCGCCTCTACACATGACTGCACTAACCGGTCTAAAAGTTATATTATATTTATAATCGTTTATATCCCTAGCGGGTAAGTACTTTAAAGGCGTTAGATTCAAAAAATGTACTGGAGTTCGAGCTAGCGGCTACGAAGGCTCATTGGACAACGTGCGACTAACGTGATGGCTGTTCATAACACACTCGATTTTTGCGAGTTCAGTGCTTAATTCGTCAAAAGATAAAATTTAATCTCCAATTATACGATTCATATCACTTTTTAGACTTTTAATATTAGTCTCCCGATTCCCCCCAAAATGACTTACGGCGGGGACGTTCAGAGACCACTCGATTCGGTTCTCGGCTAAGATGTGAGAGAACTCCAAATTATAATATTAAGAGATTAAAAACTCGTGTAACTGATAAAATACGTTTTGCCTCTACATAGTTTGTACCATCATTTGAGTACACTTAACTTATAGGTCCACGGCGAGAAAGAAAACTTTTAAATGCACCCATTTAGCTAGCCGTGCTTAGATCACCGGCAAGTTCTATGTGTACATAGCGAGCATTCAAGCATACGAAAATGCAAACATACGCTTTCGTAGATCTTACACCATGCCTACGAGTAAGCGTAGATCAGAAAATTCTGACCCGGTGTGAATAAAAGGCTTCGCAGATTGTGTTACGTCACAAGACCTAAGGTCCGCCATTTCAGGGAATGACAGCCTAGGACAAGTCTATATATGATCTTCACGCGGTAAAACTATAGGGTGTCGTTGATCGAAACTCAAATGTGAGTTACATAAGCGTCCATCCACTGGAATAATCCCATTTTGTAAAAATGGCTTGAAGCGTTGAAAAGCGCGACTACAAACCTTGCTTGATTGTAATTTTGTAATTTCATCGGCAAAGTGCACACTTTGAAGCACAAAAAATATTAATCACCCGGCATAACTATAATCGAACACAATGATATACGGACGTCGCGGTAAAAGCTTTACAAATTAGCAAACGTAAATCACGCTACGCAATAATTTCGATCAGGAAGAGAAACGGCTCGCTAAAGCAATGATTGGAGAAACCTCACTCGAAGTACTCACAACCAGAGCGTGCCTCTTCTCTTCCGGTGGTTGGGATACTGAAGAAGTGTTTAGAGAATTAGCTATGGACCTCTGCGTTTATAAGTGAGTCCAAGGAGATCCTTGAAACCAAAGCGCGTGATTTATTATTTGCATCGGAGTAAACGAGACAAAAAATCAGTAGGATATTAATATACATGATAAAATACGTAAAAACTAGTTTTTAAAATTCTAAAATTGGGTTCATTGTGATGGTAAACTTTTATATTTATATCCAGTCATCATCATCAATATCATCAGAATTATAACCCTTCACAAGTTCACCTTCTTGCACTTTGTTTACCGGTATGAGACTACCCATCGAGAATCTTTCCTCGCTATCGGTTGCGGGTTCTTCGAGCTAGTCGTTCGGCTAATTACAATTCCAGCTTACTGATCCAGTGTGCTATACTCAGGTTTTATTGTGCAAACATTAAGATTTCTCATAAGGCAAGATGTAAATGACTTCACCTCATACACTAAATACATAGGCAAAATATATATTTAATGTCACTTACCCTGTTTTGACAAAGTTTGCGATAGAAAACAGTATAGACTCAGACAAAGCAACTTCAGCCTTAGTATAGTTTTGGGGGAAGTGTCCGAAACCATCTACTAACGGCGCTCCAAAAACGTATGGAAGTTCTTCTCCGTGCACTGCTCCCGTTCTCTATAATTCAATTATATTAAAACAATATCTGATAAAAAGTTTTTTTACACAAAGACCATTTAGATTGAAGACCACAAATTTTTTAACAGCATTGAAGTGCCAAACAAACTTTCAGTCCATGTGATATGTGGCTACTTTAATTCATGAACACCTGAAACCAACTTTTAAGAAAAAAGGCTACAATAGTACACACACTGCTGTTTGGACACAAAATCAGCTAAAAGAATGATACTTACATAGAGGGACTTCTGGGCATGAAATCAATTCCACCACCCACACATTCTTAAGGAAACTCAGCTTAAAGAAAAAGGGGGAGAAAAAGAGAAAGAAAGAAGAGACTTAAAGACCTTGACGAAATGACGCATACTCCTTTATAAAAGACCAGCATCGCACCTGCAATTTCACTGGTGTTGGTGTTGTTCGTGAGTGGTGGTCGACACATTCCATCAGGGAGCATACGGCTCGTTTGCCCCTCTTCTACAAAAAAAAAACAAAGCTTGAAGACGTAACAAACTTATCAGGGACTTTAAAAATATCTGAGATAATTATTTTCAGGCCATAGATAATTGTTTCTATCACAATGTCAAAATTAATAGATTAGATATGCCGTTAAAAAAATTAATCCTGAACTAAAATAAAAATGGAATTCATCCGATAGAAATTGGATATTCCGATTTCCATTAACAATTTTGTGTCATGAATTTCCTAAGAAATTTAAACCGGGCTTAATTTTGATGAGATTCTAAATTGACCGCAAATTTTCTGAACCAAAGGTGTCGTAGTCGCAGATAACAAACTAAAGATTTATTTAAGCTTTCAACGTTTCCATATTTCGCTATAGTGATTATAGCACCTGGCCACTTCGCCTTGATTAAATGTTAACAAAAAAATACCTACTTTATAAAGTTAGAAGCATGTGGGGCTTAATAACATTTCAAACTTAATGTCAGGAGGCTTGCATGCTCGTTTTTCACTTCTTTAAAAAACTATATTCACGATTACCTGCGGATAAAAACCGTCTTTTGTCTGATAATCGAAAACATAGAAAAAAGTTTTCGTTGCTCGTCCTGGCCCGTCTTCTTCACTTAAAGTTGGTTTTGGTCCTCCGCTCAACAAATCACCGCTTTGTATCAATGGCGCCACGTATTGTGCGTCAGATAACGCCGCAATAGTAGCGTCTCTTGTGTTTATCGAGTTCTGCAACAATAGAGTATGCATATACATATATATTAATAGAAAATCTGTTTAAGACTGGTCACTTTAATTACTAATCTCCATTCAATTCCATCAACAGGAAGATTTTGCAAAAACAATTGCAGATGTATTGAAAGGCTACTTAAATGTTTATTTTAATTTTCAATGTTGTAAAAACTTATTCAAAGCTTCTGTTAACTTAAAAATTAAAGCGAAAACTTTATCGAAAATGCCAGCAAACATCTCTGGGGGTATTGTTAAATTTGCTGTATTGTATTATGAAATAAGCATGTTATAATCGTTGCTTGTTTGTATAATAAGTGTGTGGCTCATATACATATACACTTATCCTTAAATAAGGATCTCAATAAAATTACGTTGTCACCCCTTACTCCTAACATGAAACGCCTCGTTTCTAGTAAAAAAAGTCTTTGGTTCTTTACACTCACCATACGAAAGAAGAAGTAATTTTTGTAGCACATTTCTAATCTTAATTCAAGTTTAAGTTTTTAAAGAGGTGATCTCATACAAAATTTGGATAATTTATTTTTATCCACCCTTAAGGTGACATTTGAGCTTAAGGTATTCCTTAGTTTACTCCATAGGGTCAAGAAATTAGACTTCTAATAAAATTAGAGTTTAATGCATCAAGGGACTTAAAATAATAACTAATTTGCGCAAAATAGCTTCAGAAGTCGGTGTTTTAATATTTGTTTACATTGTCTTAGAGCCTATTACAGAAACAATTATGCAGATTTTTTAAATTCTATTTTTCGACTTACAATGCTGGTTCTAATACTAATGACTGAATGATGTTTTATAATTTTAATAGTCTACTGAATTGTGGAGACCAATCACTAGTGCTAAAAGATTTTTATTTACATGCGCCCTTATCTTTCTAGTAATCAGCTATTTTATAATACGATTTATTTAAACTTTTCTGAAATTGATAAAGTTTCAGTATCTTAAGCAATTATTTAAAGTAGGGTTTGTTATTCGTAATAACAAAGTGTGTTTTACTTTCTTAAAATAGCTATCCTTAAAACTTAAGAATTTACCGTTCTTTCCCAGTCGGTGTATTCGTTCACTATAGTATAGAAAATTTCACTTAGATGGTATGTGTAGGCGTTCCGCACGTAAGTTCTGAAAGACAAAATAAATAGTGATAATTTTATTCTTCTAATCTTTATGTAAACAAAAGTATTTAGAACAACTAATTAAATATTTTTTTTTACCAGTCTTTAAATGTCCACTCATGTACATAGACATTTTCTGTCATGGGAAGGAATATGGATAATGATATAGGAAGGAAATTTTTCTTAATCGTCACGATTAGCAGGCGGTTTGGTAATTATAATAGATCGTCTGGCAACAATTACGCTGGTCCTATTGATATTTTATTAAATATGTAAAAGTTTTTGTCTTTTGAATATTAAACAGAATCTATATTACAATGTAACAATTTACATAGTGTTGTATGTTTAACATGTATATGTGTGTGGCTGTATGTGGCATCGTAGCAGCCAAACGGATGAACCGATTTGATTTATTTTTCTTTGTTTAAGAGGCAACTTGATCAAGAGAGTTCTTAGATAGGATCAAAGAAATCTGTTCAGCCACTTGAAGACCATCAGCAAATTTCGTTTCGCGGATTTTAAAGAAATTTGATTTAAGTTATCATACACACATGCCGCAGTCTTTTCAAATCAAGACCCAAACAAATTAAACTGAATAGACATACCGTAACATCCTATCTCTTTTATCTGGTTCTATTCCATTTTGAACATCGTGCGCTGAAAATTTCCACAACGCTTCACATGTTACGACTCCAAACATCAAATCGTATTTGTTCTGAAATAACCTTCTGCCACTATCGCTTCTCTTCGTATGATAGTTGTTTTGATTCATATTATTCAGTGGTCCAAAACTAGGAAAATCACCAGTCGAATAGAGCGTTAAAAAATCCTTTCCAAAATCTGTTTTTATCACTACTCCATCTATCGATGGCCCAAAAGCAGTAAGAAAGTTAGGTGGTGATATGTCTATTGATAATAGTTCGTCTACTGCTACTTCCCTCAGGCAATCCACTATAACCTCATGGTCTTTAGTCATGTCTTCAGGTATTGTACAATTCATATGCTTAGCTAATTTTAGCGAGTAATATACTGGATCATCCACAATAGCCCACGAACTTAAAGCTGATCCTGATAAAAGAATAGCTCTATGGAATAGACCTAAAAATTTGAAAATAAAATGTTGGCTCTTATACAAATATTACTGACATATATTACTATATAGAATTTAAAAATAAAAGTGAAAAGAAAAAATAACAAAGTTTTTAGTATTCATATTCCGCGGCACATATTCGACATCCCTAACGGTGCTAATTCAATTGTTATTTTACATTTTAATCATACGTATGAGATATAAAAAAAGAAGTGTTCACTTCATAAAAGTCGAAGAATAGTGAAGTCCGCCAGTATTAGGGCGACGTAGGGCATTTCACTGCCTTAAAACTGTTTAGAAATTATTGAATTGAAAATTTTAGCGCCTATCTATTTCAAAGATTGAGTAAAGCAATATTTATTTAACAAATACTTTGACTTTGTAATTTACCTACAAAAACCTAACATTTATTCAAAGCATTTTTTTTCGGTACATTAAGTGCATTTTTAAAATTTCAAATGGTGCTGGTTTACAGGAAAATTGAGGTCCCTCCTTAAACAAAATGCACTTTAATGTGATAAAATAAAACTAAAGATATTTCTAACAACTAAACATACCTGGCATAACTGTCGGTGATATCATTAGGAAATTGATACAGGCCGCACCGGACCCATGACCCATTAGTGTTATATTTGTTGGATCACCTCCAAAAAGTGCGATATTTTGTTGAACCCAATGAAGTGCCGCTATTTGATCCATCAGCCCGTAATTAGCCACCCGAGCTTTGAGATGCGGAGCCGGATTCGCGTTAAGAAATCCTAAAATCGTTACATATGAAGCTTTTTCTACGTGTGACGAAAATTCTTTGGGAAAATAGTATTGTTTTAATTAAATTTTACATAATTCTAACATTTTATGCTTTTTTCTATATATGTTCTTATGTCTAGTTAAAATTCTAACGGTTTGTGTGAATTTGGATAATGTTTTTTTTTTTCAAGTTTATATTTTTTAACGTCGAATAAAGCTCAGTTGCTTAGGAACTTTACAAAATACAAACCTTAATAGTTTTTATTTACGATTCTTAAAAATATAATTTTTGCTATCATAAGATTAATAAATTTTAATTACTTTACCTAGAACACCAAGTCTGAAGTTTAATGTGACTACAATTAAATTGGTGTAGCTTGCCAAGACTGCGCCATCATACGGATTACCCGAACTCCATGAGTAGCTTTCACCGTGTACATACACTAATACAGGCAGTGTCAACTTAGATTCATCTACTTCAAGGAAAAATATATTAATATTAAAATGTACATTTATTACAACATAATAGGTTAATTAACATATTTATCTGAGAATTATAAGAACAGTTTATAATAAAGCTGAAATTCGGTTAACTTTTTCAATGCGATCAATTTGTGTGGTGCACTTAATAACACCAAAATAAAAGTGTTCAAAATCACAACAAGAGCCATAATTCCGCAGCTGATGTCTTTCAAGCGAGTTATGTAATTACGGCGATGTTTTCCCTAACAAGAATATTTTCTTAAAGTATAATGGTCCATATTTAATTTCTTATTTTCTTCCTTTTCTTAAAAGATAATAATTAATAATAATTAATAAATAATAAAAAATAATAATTAATACTTAATAAAAAATAATAATTAATTTTAGAAACTTAATGTAAATAGAAAACAACAAAGGGAGCACTAGAGTTATATATTACTTGTGAAGAATAAACGTTTTGGTAGTTATTAATTACAACTTGATTTTTAGGTACTAATTTCATATTCAAGTAAGTTTTACTAAATTTTATTTGTCTTTTATACAAGTTCAAGTGAATAAAGGCTATTAAAATTTTGTATTTCCATTTCAACCACACGAAAAATAGTAAATAATAATATAAGGGATATAGTAATCTTGCTAAGTTCAATACTTACTTTGTAAAGGAGCAAAGATATTTAAATATAGACAATCTTCACTTTGATTCTTAAGGTAAGGCATCAGTCTTTTTAAATATTCTAATCTGCCTTTAGGCATTTTCTCTAATATGGTCCTCTCATTGTCGAGATCTGGTAGTTTCTGTGGGCATGCAGGACCTGGTCTATCCGATACTCTAACGCCATCCCAAGGAGACGGTGTTCTCGTTGGACTAAACCTAAAGCAAAACAAAATTCAGTGTTAATTTATATTTTAATTTTTATCTTCTTCACTTGTTATTAAAAAGACAAAAAGCGAATTGTTATTAAAAAAAACTTTAGTTACAACAATAGTGCATTAAAGAATTTAAAGTGTGCAATAAAGAACTTTGAAGGAAAAATAAAAGTCTGCTTGCTACCAGTAAAGAGACATTGCGATAAAGTACCTACATAAAACAAAAATAAAGTCAAACAAAATAAAACCTCGACTTCGAAAACAGTGAAGTAAAAAGTTACAAACAAGTTTGATATCGACGCAATGACGGGGCTTATATTCAAGATACTATATTGGCTAAAAGTTTTTCCAGTTCGTTTAACGTGAGAAGACTATTGTACTGAGAGTTTCTATGTCTCTTCTATTTTTCCGTTCTCTTTTATTTTTCACGTCTACTCTGACGAACTGTACATTATAATCATTACTGTTATAAATTACATTAAATATCTACATTATCGTAGATTAATCTTATGAGCTAAGGGTATTTTCACTTTTAACGGAAGGATTGACAGCTACAATAAAATAATTTTTTCAGCGTTAATTTTAAAAATAAGCGAGGAAACAACAGTTTTTATTAGATACAAGTTATACATTTTCTGAAAATCTTACCTGTTTGATCCAATGGGTGGTGTCGCATAAGGGACACCGAGAAACACTTCAAGAGGACTTAAATATCTATGTTCATCCATTTCCAACACAATGCCCTGTAATTTTCCATATTTAGTTTGGATTATCTTGCTACTTATTTTAAATTTCACTCTTGATGTCGGTACTGGATTTGAAGGATTCAAATAATATCGTTTATAGTCTCCATAGTTACTGTAAGCATTATTTTCCATACTATAAAATTTTTTGGACAAAAAATCATCGTTGCTGGTATAAGGATTTTTTTCAAGATTGAACTTTTCAAAAACGTTTTCATCACCAATCCGTGTATTCTCTTGTATTTCAAAATCTTTTTTATGTGAATCGCTTTGTTGTGAATTAAAATTTAAATTATTGTTAAAATTCCTATCACCATGTCTATTCATATTTGTTGTGTTGGAATTAACTGTCTGCAGATAAAAACAAATAATAAAGAATAATGCGTTAAAATTTATGCTTTGGGCGGGATCTAATCTTTTTCTATGCTTGTCATAATAAAACATGCTCGAACTGATTTTATTCCGCGTTTTATGGAAATATCCAGGTGCAAACATATTTCGTCATGCCATATTTTTGTTTTCTTTGAACTCTTAGTTTTCCTATGTTCTCTGATATTACCTAAAACAAGGAAAAATTCAGTAATTATGCATAGATTCAAAACACGATGCTGTATTATAAATATTAATAAACTTATTTTAATAACCAATTATGTATGAAAACATAGAATTTGAGCTCTTAGATTGCTTTATTAATGTCAAAGAAGAATATAGTATCCAATATTGACTCTACTATTTTAATGCATTTATCACTTTTTTATGAATTCACTGTTTATACTAAGAGTAAGGAAATCAGCAAATCTAATTAATCTAATTGCCCTCATGGATAGTATTTTATCAACCCATGAGCAGTAGTCCGAAAGCTTTAGGTGATCGTTTGTGCCTTATATTATGTATTTTTTTACGCTTACAGTTCAATATAATGCCAATCCATTTATCATTAGTGTTTGGATAATAGAAACTGTTAAAGCGACTGCTAGGATTGAAAATAAAATTCTATTTCATGACAGCAATTACAGTTTAAATAGTGATAAACTGAATGTACTTTAATTAATATTACAGCAATTTAGATGATTGTTTACACTCGTAGTCGGCAATTCACTTTCACCAGGCACATTACAATAAAAACCTTATATGAAACGACCGTAAAAATATTCAACATCACTAGTTCCATTCAGCGGGCTTGATACAATTAATAGGTAAAATTTTATAGTAATGTAATTTTATCTTCGCAGTTTTATAAAAATATTCAGATTAAATTATTTAAGTATTTGAATATAAAAGGCGTTGTGGGCTTGTCTCTTATACTTTTAAAACATAAAATTATAAGAGAACTTACAGCCTATCTGATGATGATTATTAATACAGTGTACAAAGTAAGTATAGAATGGGTACGTTATTACTAAATAGAACTAAGATATGATGTTCTGTAGTAGCTTTTAATGCTCTGCACTGGTGCTTAGTGGCAGGAAAAGAGTTGGTGCATACGGACTCTAAGGTGTTCCTGTACAGCCCCTTAATCTTATAACCTAGCAGATGAGTAATTGTCTTGACTAAGAATCTTATCCGGAACCGTCTGATTTCAGCCTGATTAGACCTTATTATTTTCTCATTTCTTTATACGTAGATAGGTAGATTCAAGTTCATAAATGTTGCTAAATTATGTCAATAATAATGCCACAGTATAATTGAAATGAACCAACAAGTTTATCACAGAATATCCAATAGTTATAAAATTTAACGAGCATTGTTTTATATGTGTTTTGTATTTTTATACATGTTAGAGCCGTACTGAGGCAATATTAGTAGTATAGTTGTAGCACGAATGAGTCGGCTCGATCGGGAAAGAGCTACACTCTCACAGAATACCAGCTTAAAATAGTAGCTTAACGCATGTCTATATCATATAGATACATCTATTTATTCGAGAGTATACACATTTTGATATATTCAATCGTCATATATAAAAATATATTTTATACAGAAATAGACGAAAACTATTTATATGGATTTTATCGCGTTGAATTCTACTTACTTTAACCATGTTCTTTAAAAGCTTTTATTTAAATTGCAATGTTTGTTTGTTAGGGTAAAATCTTGCAACTCAATTTTAAAGCAGTTACCCTAAACTAATTGAGCTAAAATTTCGCATACATGTATAGTTTGGATGACAATTACCTTACTAAGTGACGTCATACTAAATCCACCACCATATTGGTCGGCTGAAGATGGCGGTCTAGTTACTTACCATGGACTTCCATTATATGGGCATCAAATGAAAGGGTCAAATGAGAAGAATACGAGTAAAATAACGCGCGTGTTCACCTTTTTGAGGAGATGATGAACTACTACCCGATCAAACGGTAAGATTTAGCGGGATCGTATTTTAACTAATATTAAGACCCAAGACCTCATCATCAGCAACCGCATTTACGACACTAGACCAACAAGGCAGTCTTACAACCACAACAAATACGTTTTCTTCTTAGTAAAGTATGTGGTTTAAGGGCCTGTTAATCACGCTGTTTTGAGACGAGGTCTTGTCAACATCAAATGTATGAGGTTACATTTATCGTAACTAAAGAAGCGAACATTCAAGGAATTAAGAGTGACAATTTTGGAGCTATTTTTGCGGAAGGCCTATCTTTTACTAACTTGTAAAGGGCTGCCGTGACGTTGATGACGATAAAGACGGTAATAATGACAGTAATATTGATGATGAATACTAAAAATGGCCCCGAGTTCCCGGCGCCCCTTTAATGGGGCAGGGGTGCGAAGAATCTCCGGGAGGAAAACCGGCGACGAGGTTCGCCACCCGTCACGTTCTGTCTCCCGGAGATGCGAAAAGTGGATTGCAGAGGCCCGTCTGGCTACGTTGAATGTATGTGGGGCAATGAATGATAAAATGGATGAAGTATGCGATATGATGTACGATAGAGGAATAGATGTGTTATGTGTAAATAAGACAAAAAGGAAGGGGAATGATGTCACTACACATGGCATGTATACCACATACTGGTCTGGTGTAGACGAGATCGAGCGGGCATGCCAGGGAGTAGGTATCATCCTTTCAGAAAGAATGGCCAATGTGTGAAAGAGTATGAATGTGTAAGCCCAAGACTGCTATGGATACGAATGAAAGTGGGCTTAAAGAAGTTGTTTGTGTTAGGGGTCTACGCCCCAGACATGTCTAAGCCCACTTATATCCGAGAGCAGTTTTGGGAAATGGTAAGGATGGTGTTAATGAAGTGTAAGGGAAATGAAAATATTATTATGCTAGGAGATTTTAATGGAAGGGTTGGGGTGAGGAGGCTTGGTTATGAAAGGATATTGGGAACGTTTGTTGATGAAAGTATAAATGAGAATGGTGAAAGTCTCCTCACCGTATGTATGGAAAAGAATCTTTTTGTGACGAACACTTACTTTCGCCACAAGAGGATTCACATGTATACTTGGGAAAGAGGTGACGATAGAAGCATGATAGATTTCATAATTGTGGATGAAAGATTGAGGAGCGCAGTGTTAGTTACAAGGGTTTACCGGGGTTCTAACGTAGGAACGGATAATTATTTGGTTTTATGCCGAATTAATGGTCTAGTCATGTGTTGGAGCCATCGATCATCTGTGTCTACCACTGCGTTACAGCGTATTAGAACAGAAAGGTTAGATGAAGGTGAGAAAAACAAGTTCAAATGTAGACTAAAAGAAAATATAAGTAGTTTGGATGAATTATGTATGAAGGAGTTAGACTTGGAGAATATATGGCAAAACGTAAAAAAAGGTTTAGTGGATGCAGCTACCGAAGTATGTGGTGTTAGTAAGAAAAAGAATGAAAGGAAAAATAATACGGTATGGTGGAATGATGAGATACGTATGGAAGTTGAAGCAAAGAAGAGAGCATGGCTAGATTTACTAGCAACAAAGGCTGGTAATTCTAGCGGTACGAATGATGATATTGAAAGAAAAAGGCAGTTTTTAGACATCCTAATAAGAGATTAAAAGAAGCAGTTGAAAGAAAAAAAGCAAGAAAATACAGATAAGAATGATAGAATTATATCGGATAACTTCCAGGCAAATATTAAAATGCTCTGGAATCTTGTAAGAACTGCCAGGGGACATTCAAAACAGCCTATGATGAATGCTATAAGAGACGAGAATGGCTATATTCTGAATGATGAAGTTTTGAGTTTAAAGAGATGGAAGGAATATTTTGAAAGCGTGTTTGTGAGTGAGGAGACAACGTGTGTACTAAGTGAAGTAGAAACTCCGAAAGAAGAGGAAAGAGGTACCAAGATAAGTATAGATGAAATAATGAAAGCAATGAAAAGCATGAAAGCAGGTAAGGCTGCCTGATATGATAGAGTTTCACTCGAAATGCTAAGGGCTGGAGAGGAAGTCGTGGCAGGCCTGCTGCAAACCCTGTTTAATTTATGCTGGGAAGTGAAGCGGGTACCGGTAGACCGCTGCAAAGCCGTAATAGTCCCAGTATATAAAGGAAAAGGGTCGCAGCAGGACTGTAAAAACTACCGTGGCATCAGCCTTCTTAGCATTGTGGGAAAACTGTATGCTAAGGTACTGATTGAAAGGGTTGTGAAAGAAACTGATGGAAAAATTTGGAATGTGCAAGCGGGATTTAGAAAGGGAATGGGATGTACAGATCAAGTCTTTTCCATGCGCATGATCGCGGAGAAGTTTGTGGCCAAAAACCAAAAGGTTTTGTTGCGTTCATGGACTTGGAAAAGGCCTATGACAGAGTGGATATGGATGTGCTATGGCAAACACTGAACTCATTTGGGTTGAGCGCTGGCTTAATACAGGCATTGGAGTCTCTTTATAGGGACTCTAGTGCTTGTGTTAGGATCAACGGGGTCTACTCGGACTGGTTTGGCATCCAAAAAGGTGTAAGCTGTGTGCTTCTTGCTTTAACTATTTATTGCGGTGGGGGTCTGTTACATCCATAAAGGTGTCAGACAGGGATGTGTGGCTTTCCCGTGGCTGTTCAACCTATTTATGGACAGTTGTTTGCAAATTTTGAAAGTTGAAGAATGCGGATTAGGAATGGGTGAGTTAACCATCAAATGACTTTTGTACGCCGATGATCAAGTTATCCTTGCGTCGTCGGCAGCCGAGTTGCAAATGATGGTTACATTAATGAACAGATCATTAAAAGAAATGGGTATGAAGGTGAACGCAAGTAAGACGAAGATTATGGTTTTTGAAAGAGATAAAAGTAAAACGATTTGTGAAATAAGAATAGAAGGGGAGTTGATCGAGCAAGTAGGTGAGTTTGTATATTTGGGCTGCGTATTTAGCAGGGATGGGAGATATGA